CGGGGGGCCCTGGGCCGGGCTGCCAGCAGGCTGCCTCCTCCCAGCCCGCTCTCAAAGCTGCTCTGCTCCTTCAGTGTCCCGTCAGGACAGCAGGGCCGCGATGCCCGGGCTGGAGGCCACGGCTCAGGAGGGGGCAGCCGCTGCAAACGGGATTTAGGGAGGTTCTTTTGGCGCATGGGCTCACCCTGGGGATGCTCCGTGTGCCAGCTCTGCTCGCTGCCCTGGGGCAATGCTGATGGAAGAAGGTCCCTGCTGGGGGGGGTGGGGTGGGCAATTGGGGATCCAGCCTCCGAGGCTGGCACTGTGTGATGTCCCCCAGGGGGGGCGTGGGTACCAGGCCCTGGCTCAGCCCGGCCATGCCCATTTCGTTGCAGGGAGCGGAGCTGAAGGTAGCGCTGCCGGTGCCCAGCCATGATGCCCTTTGGCGGGATGGCTGCACGTCTGCAGAGGGACCGCCTGAGAGCCGAGGGGGTTGGCCAACACAACAACGCCATCAAGTACCTCAACCAGGACTATGAGTCCCTCAAACAGGAGTGCATTGAGAGTGGCACCCTCTTTAGGGACCCCCAATTCCCAGCCGGCCCCTCTGCCCTCGGATTCAAGGAGCTGGGGCCACACTCCAGCAAGACGCGGGGGGTGGAGTGGAAGCGTCCATCGGTAAGTGCTGGGCTTGCTTCTCCTCGGGCTGGGCTGGCATCCCTGCCCTGAGACATCTGCACTGACGTGGTTTGCCAAGCTGCAGCCTGGCCCTGGCTTGCTCCCCTCAGTGCTCAAAATCCCCCGGGTGCTTCACAGCCTCCTTTCCCAAGGGCCTACAGCAATGCCCCATGAGTGTCTGCTCAGAAGAACATCATGTCTAGCAAGCCTGGCTTCCTCTGGGCAGCAGACCATGGGCTGTAAAGTGGGTGGGCTGTGTCATTGCTTCTAGGTGTTGTGGCTTCTGAGTGTCACCCTCAGCAGCTGGGGCTTTTGAGGGCGTACGTCCCCTGGTGCCACGAGTGCAAGGGGAATGCCATTGGTCTATCTCACCGTGTCCTCCCATGGGTACAGCAGAAGATCTTGCCTTGCTTTACCATGATGGCCTTGGGCTTGCAGTCAGGCAGATTTCCCTGGCAGAGGGCCGGTGGGGTGCATCTCTCCGGGACCATCTACCCTTCCTCCCGAGTCAGAGCTGCAGCGGGTGCGAGCCCCCCCAGAAGCCCAGGCCCTGCTGAGATCCAGCATCTGCTTCTCTCTTTCTCCTGCAGGAATTAGTGGGTGACCCTCAGTTCATCGTTGGTGGTGCAACCCGGACAGACATCTGCCAGGGGGCTCTGGGTGAGTGCTGGAGCTCTGTCCTCGGATCTTGGTCCGAAGAGCAGTGGCTGGGGAGGGTTGGCGTGGCTGGAGAAGAGGTGTTTGTGTAAGGTTGAGGGGGGAACCAGTTTCACATCACCCTTCCTCAGGCCCATGCAGCGCATTTTCATGCCAGCCTCTGCACAACCATCTCTGTACCAAAGGCTCCCTTCCCATTCAGTGCAGTGGAAACTGGAAGGCGGGGGACACCCTGAGCCTCCTGGTGGCTCTAGGTTAAGGCTCCACGAAAATGGGTTGATGTGGGCACAGCCTGACCGTGCTGACATCAGGGGAGATGTCGGGTGGATCCATGCCTGTGACACATGCCAACAGCAATGCCAGGAACTGCTCCAAAGAGGTCCCTGCGTTGGGAAGTTCCTCCCTGGGAACGGGCGATAGGATGAGGGGGAATGGTCTGAAGTTGTGCCAGGGCAGGTTTAGGCTGGACGTTAGGAAAAACTTCTTCACCGAAAGGGTTGTCAGGCTCTGGAATGGGCTGCCCAGGGAGGTGGTCAAGTCCCCATCCCTGGAGGGATTTAAAAGATGGGTAGATGAGGTGCTTAGGGACAGGGTTTAGGGGTGGGATGGCAGGGTTAGGTTAACAGTTGGACTCGATGATCTTAAAGGGATTTTCCAACCTAGACAATTCTATGATTCTGTGATTCTATGATTCTATGAAGTGGTGAGGGGTGGCAGCTGGATGACAGTAACAAAGTGAGGTGAGGTTGTGCTGGTCATGACAAAGTTCTGGCGAAGCAACGCCATGCAGCAGAAGGGAATCGAGAGGAGAGCTACGGAGAACAAATGGTGATTTGTCATTTCTCCAGGGGTGTCTCCCAAGGCAAAGGCACTGGGAGAAGGAGAGCAGTGTGAATGGGCTGGGTAGGCTGGCAGGGCTGGCCACAGAGATTTCGTGGTCACGGGAGCCAGATCTGGGTACCACCAAGAGCGCCGTCCTCATCTGGGTCAAGTCGGGCCCTTGGCTGGGAGCATCGTGTACCTTAGCACACACAGCACGCTGGTTTTAGGGCTGCCCACAATTAATGCATCCAGTAATTAGAACAGACTTCAGGTGGTAACCAGAGTACGTAACAGCCCAGGGCACTGCCGTGGTGTTCAGTTGGTCATGAAAAAGTTCGAGATGCCATTTTGTCAAACCACAGCCCCATACAGGTTCCCCAGGCTCCAGGCTAAGGTGTGACAGGCTTCAAAGGCCAAAGAAAAAGCAGAACCAAGGCAAAGAATTTCAAGCGCAAGCGCTGGCCTGGAGCAGCACTTGTGGTTAAGAGCACTTGGAAGGAAAAGGGCGGTGGTGTTCCTTGCAATTTGAGAAGTCGGGGCAGCAGCTTTAAACCTCTCACTTGATAAAATGTTCTTTTAAATGCGAAGGGTAATTCCACTGCAGAACTCGCTGCCTGAGGCATGGAGGGCAGTCAGAGGAGCAAGCCCCAGGAGGGTCTGGATAAACTGTGGGAGGGGGCTGCTGGTGCTGACTCTGGTGGTCTGGACACAGGCCCCAGGTGAGGGACGATCGTTCCCTGTTGCCTTGAGCTAATTAATGCTTCTCTCCGAGGCAGCCTGGCTCCCTGAGCTCTGTCTGTCTGCTGGACCCTCTCTGGTTTCTCCACGTGCTTTTTGAGCTGGGGGGCCCCAAACGTTTGCAAGGAGAGGACATCATGGGCTCCCACACATTCACCACCTGCCTCCCACCCCCGGCTAGGGAGGTGGTGGGTGCTCACACCGGCTTCTTCTCCTTCCCCAGGTGACTGCTGGCTGCTGGCTGCCATCGG